ACTCCTTCTTCCTCAAGGCTGAGAGAATGTGTCTCCCCACCCCAAGAGGAGGTCAAGACCACAGGGAGGGCTACCTCCTCTACTTTGAGAGAAAGGGATCCTATCTGATGTCTGAGAAGGAGCCATGGGGTGCATTCTCAGTGGCCCACCTAATAGCTCGAACTTCTCTCCACCTCCTCACTGATCAGAGAGAGGAAGCCATGGGAAGTTTGGAAACCCTCTCTGCAGGACCCCACGAAGGGGATGTCTAAGCCCCCCTCCTTCTACTTCCTTGACCTGCATGGGTGCATTCAATGCTGTTGAACGATGTTTGGTTTTTCCCAGTCCATTCATGGTTCACATCTGCCTTACCATCCACGAGGACATTTCTGATTGTCACCTTCTGTGTGCCTGGACTCTCAATCTTGTGGGACCCTGGGGCTTTTACTTTCACCTCTCATGGTGTATATCTCATGGGATATACATGTCCGTTGTATTGGAGCACAACCGAGCAGATGTGCTTTGTGAGTAGACCACCTAGAGTGATAAATGACCTTGGACAAATTATCCCTCTGAACCACTTTTCTCCAGATGATTAAAAAAAAAAAGAGAGAGAGCAGAAATAACACTTTGTGAGGATGTTCGAGTAAATGAGAGCATGTGTGAAAAACATCTGGTATAGCGTGGATATTACAGAAGTGGTGCCTAAATTATTATTATTTAAATTGGCTCTCAGTTCGCATTAACTGGGCTGGATAGAATCCGTAAGTGGCTTGTCACTGATATTGGCAGGCCATTCTTGCTTCCTACATCCCAGCTGGCACAGCTTGGGGCTTGGAGATGTGCAATCCAACTCTGAGTCAGTGTATCAGAGGAGTGTGCAGTCAATTGTAATAATGCAGCGGGCTTTCCTGCTACCAGGTCCCAGGCTCAGGGATGGGAGCAATTAGGAAGTGGCCCCTGAGTATGAGAAGTTTGCAATCTATGGGGAATCGAGGGGAACACAGGAATGATTCACCACAGTAAGATGGAAGAGATGCCTTGGGTAAGGTACTCTAAGTACACCAAGGAGGGAAGAATTTGTTCTGTCTGTGAGGCTTGGGAAAGGTAATACTGAGCTGGGTCTTGAGGCATCTGTAAGAGTTTACCAGTAGAGAAGTGGAGGAAGTGCTCAAGTGGATATGGTAAGGAGCTATTGTAGCTGATGACTTCTCTAGGAATATTCCCTCAATCCTCTAGGAGCACCATGTATTGTCTTTGTTAGAACTCCTGAAGAAAGTATAATAAAATATTGTGGTGACTAGAATGTAAGCTTTTCAAGAATAGGTTGGGTCTTAACCATCTGTGACCCCAGCATCAGGCACCATACCTGACACAGGTCGTTTGAAAGGTGAACTGTATTCTTATCCACCCCAGTTCTTATCTATTGAAGAAATACTGATGTCACTAATAATTAAATAAGGCTAATTTAATGCAATGTCCTTCCTGGAAGTATTTTGAGGGAATCAAAGGAATCTTTTCCAAAGATATGTATCTCTACTGGTGGGATGTCAGGCACTGTGTCACTTCTGCTTTTTATGTGACTGGAGACATCCTTTTTATATAACTATATATAAAACTTGATTGATAGATGATAGATAGAAGACAGATTTTATTAATTCTCCCAGTAAGCTTGTAGTGTATGTGTAATTTTTTTAAATGAACCAATTAACAAATATGTTTTGAGTGCCTAATTCACATGAACATTATGCTAGGGATTGGAGTATAAAAGAGATTAAAAGATGAATCAAACCCAAGTTCTTGCCTTAAGAAGACAGTTCAGGCCTGGTGCAGTGGTGCACATCTATCATCCTAGCCACTCAGGAGGCTGAGGCAGGAGGATTGCAAGTTTGAGGCCAGCCTCTGCAACTTAGTGAAACCCTGAATCGAAATAAAAAAGGGCTGGGGATGGAGCTCAATAGTAGAACACTCCTAGGTTAAAATCCTCAGTACTGCAAAAAATAAAGAAAGAAAGAATGAGCAAAATCTGAAGCTGTACTCACAAGAAATAAGATTGTATGATCTACTCCTGGAAACCAAAATCCTTTTCCTTGTTGTGGCTTTATTCCTTGAACTTTTGCAAGGCACCTGGCATGTAGTATGCCCTCCAGCATTTGTAGGGAAGGCTCAGAGAGACTCTGGTTGTGTACTGATGTTCCCTCTGATCCACAGTTTTGCAGTGGTGTGCATGGTGCCAGTTACCTGTGGTCAACTGCAACACTAAGTGGAAAATTCCAGGAACAATTCATAAGTTTTGAGTTATACATCATTCCGAGTAATGTGATGAAATTTCCCACTGTCCTGTTTTGTCACGGGGGATGTGAATCATCCCTTAATCCAGTGTGGATGTACTGGCCACCCATTAGTCACTCAGTGGCTGTCTCCATTATCCCATCAACGGTCATGGTACCAGGGTGCTTAGGTTCAAGTGACCCTTGTTTTACTTCATGACCCCCCAAAGCACAAAAATAATGATTCTGGCCAAAAAAGAATATGCCAATGAGGAGCTGTAAAGTGCTTTCTTTAAGTGAAAAGGTGACTGTTCTCAATTTAATAAGAAAAAAATATATGCCAAAATTGCTAAGATCTACGGACAGTCAGATGTTTTGAGAGACCAGATTTGTACCACTTTTATTGTAGCATATTGTTATAATTGTTCAATTTTATTATTAGCTATTACTATTAACCTCTTTCTGTGCCTAATTTATAAATTAGACCTTGTCATACATATATATGTTTAGGAAAAAATATAGAGAGATTTTTGTGGTTTTAGGCATCAATTGGAGTCTTGGAGTATATTCCCTGAAGGTAATGGAGGACTACTTTGTATGTTAATGTCATTAGTGTTCATCCAGCTTGTCTTTTCATGAGTCTCTCAAGGTGTGGGATTCTGTGTTCCGTTTCTCAGAATGATCTATAACACCAGATAAAGCATCTAACACAGATTAGTCTCCCAATCATGGGATGTAGATCGGAATGTTCCCAGAGGACTGCTTTACTTAAGATTCCTTCATTAAAGTAATAGAGACAGACTCACAAGATCAACAAAAGATTCATCGAGCCACATGCCTATGATCCCAACAGCTGAGGAGGCTAATGCAGGAGGATCCAAAGTTTGAGGCCAGCCTCTGCAACTTGGCGAGGCCCTAAGCAACTTAGCGAGACTCTGGCTCAAAATAAAAAAAAAAAATTTAAAAGGGCTGGGAGGGCTGGGATTGTGGCTCAGTGATAGAGCACTCATGTAGCACATGCAAGGCCCCGGGTTCGATCCTCAGCACCACATAAAAATAAATAAATAAAATAAAGGTATTGTGTCTAACTACTTCTAAAAAAATAAATTTTTTTTTTTTTTAAGGCTGGGAATGTATCTCAGTGTTAAAGTGCACATGGGCTCAGTCCTCAGTCTTAAAATATTAAATAAATAAATATATATGTACACACACACAACATATATATCAAAAAAATTCTATTAATTACATTACTTTCTGATAGGTTTTAATAAGAATTTTCTTGTGGAAGAACAGACTATTTTCTCATTGGGCATAGGAGATCATTGGTCAGTTGTGTACGATCAGAAGTTCTTCATCAGTGGGTACAACTGTCAACCAGTCTACTTCAACGGAAATCCTCCACATTCCACTGGATCCTTGCCAAGAAGTGTCTTTGCCTCCTGTACTTTATTAAACACGGTCCTGGGTTTTAATGAACTGTAGTGGAAATCTTCCCCTCATCTGCACCTGCGGATCTCAATCCCACATCCAGGTACAATATGGCACTATTAGTCTTTTACCTGGAATTGAAGAGAGAACTGGATTTGGATTTAGGAAATTCTACAAAATATAAAAATGTAAAAAAATATAAAAAATTTAGGGTCTTTTCTTCCTCTCTTCCTCTAAAACCCAGTAAGACTTTCCTCTTCCTCAGGTAGAAGGCATTTTTCCCAGAGCCATCAGCAATCCTCTGAGACCTATGAAGCCACGTGTTAGATTCGGAAAGGTCTCTCCCAGTTGGGGAAGCCCAAGACGCTCTGACGGCTTCCCTTGTGTACCTTGTGTCGTTGTGATCATCCCCCTGGATTGTAAACACAGATAAATGTCTGGAAACTGCAGGTGAAAGAACCCCTGCTAAAATCAAGAACCAATTTACATGATTGGAACTCAAAAAAACTCAAAGGAAAATGTGCTACACGGAGCTCCTTGCCAAAAATGCAAGGTTTCCTCTCAAAAAAAAGGAAGTCGCCTAAAAAAACCTGCCTTCCTTGGCTCCTGATCACATCCCAGGATGAGGGATCCCATTCCCATTCATCTGCTCTCAAAAGAAGTCAAAAGAGTTTGGGTTCCAGAAATTGTTCGTTCTAGTCCTGCTCCGTCACTAAATGGTTTTGCAATTTTCAGTGAGTTGTTCGGGCCTCCTGTGCTCATAGGAAGAGTGGGAGTGTCTGCCTGATTTGAAAAGCCCTTTGGAAGTGCCAAAGATTTACCAGAAGAGACATCCATCGTTGCCTGCCACACCATCTCCTTACCTGCTGTTTTGGACGGTCCATGACAAGTGTTCATCATCTCCACGGAGGTGGGCCTGTTTTGAGGGTGCTCATGCTAACGCTCCAGATGCCTTTCTCTTAAACATCTGTACAGGGCCAGCAGAGAATAGCCAGGCCCCCACCATGAGCTGGGCCAGTTGGCTACAGTTAGGAAACACACATATATAAGTCAATTTCTAAATCTGTCTTCTATTAGTTATATATCTTTTGAGCAAGTCAATTCCTGCCTCAGTTTCCTTACCTGTCAGAGAACAGTAATAACTATCAGGACTACAATGAAGGACTATTGGGAAGACTCAATAAGACAGCATTATAAAATACACTCAGAGTGTATTTTATTGTAAAGGACTGTGCAGATGTTAGCTATTTATATTTCTGATGCCTATGGAACCACAGAGCTCACCAACACTACAACTGAAATACAGAAAAAGGAGGCTCCCCACCCATACTTATCCCAACGTTAAATACCCAGGGGAATCCAGGCAGGTGTGAGGCCAACCCTCTTGCGGTGACTCTCAGGCTTAGTCATACCTGCTAATGTAACAACCGCTTCAAGTAATGCTTCTACCTTCCCCGGGTGACCTTGAATGGGGACACTTCATTCTTCTCTCAAGGGTTCCATTTCCTGGCCTGGAAAATGAAGGAGAGGGAGCTGAGCGAGGTGATCCCCAAGGTCTGGTGCTGTGACATTCTCTAGGTGGAGAGGGAGTACAAGCAGGGGCCAGATCTGCAGAGCAAACACTAAATACTAGCAGATGGTTCGAGAAAGATGCATAGGAGATGTGAATTCTAAGTCCAGGTTTTGCCTGATTTTAAGAGAATCAGAGATGGTCCCCTTACCAAGTCTCCATTTCTCTGATGGTGTTGGGGAATCAATAATAACTACAATTAAACTACATACCAGAAACTGCCCATATGTTATCTTCATATATTAAGTATCAACGCCCTCCTGGTTTTTTTTCTAGCCAGTGAAGTAATTTATACTCCGTGAGGTTATACCAGCTATGATAAGATCTCGGGACTAAAATGTTGCAGAGCTAGAAAGCAGGACTGACCGAATGCAAAACCTGTGAGATTCCCCATTAGGATATTCGGACAAGCCCCTAAGAGAGATGAATCCATTAATAAACACACTTATCAAAAAACACACTTATCAAAAGCCATCGGAGAAATACCATGCCCTCCTGGACTCTTCTCATAAGCTCCCCTACCATCTCCTATTACCCAAAGTCTTGCAGGCACAGAGAATTAGCATAACAGGACCCAGAATAAATTGATCCTGCCCAAGGAACAAGTCAGCTTCAAACCAGAAGAATCTAGCTAATGAGACACCCTTCTTTCCACCCCAGTGTACCCCAGCCCTGTTTTCACCCAGCCAGGACCCCAGCTCCTCACCAAGCAGCTCTGGCCTTTTGCAGGATGCTGATGTGTTGGCTGTTGCTATGGCGACGGAGGAGCATCTCTGTCATGCACACATGAGCAACAGAGAGTGGGTATCCCCCGCCTGGGAAACTCAGAGGATTTATCAGTTGTTTTCCAGCAGCCTCCTCGCACTGCTTCAGCCAGGAGCAAGGGAGCATCCCCTCCACTTAGCGTTCGACCCACGCCAGAGGCAGGGCTGAGCGTTCTGGACCACTTCTGTGCAGAAAGCAACCCCCTCCCTCTACTTCTGGTACAGTCCTTGTTCGATGAAGATGCCTTCCCGGTAGTGGGAAGTGGGACTGACAGGGTGCAAGTGAGTGAACTGCTGTGTTTACAAAGAGCCAACAGGTAGACCCTGGCTCTTCAGTCCTCCTGGGCCACTCCCGGATTGTGAACCAGCTAGATAGTTAGAGCCAAACTCATGTAGCTTTATACCCTGCTTCAGCCACTTATGAAAAAGGCAGTATCACGCCATTTCTCTAATAAGACTTAGCTTATTTATGTGCAAAAATGGGTTTAATAATTCTTTGCAAAGTCATTGAAGAAAATTAAATGAGATTGTATAAATAGGTCCTAATACCAAGGGCACCTCGTGATAGGAACCCTTTTTTTTTTCAGGGGATTGAACTCAGGGGCACTCAACCACTGAGCCAAATCCCCAGCCCTGTTTTGTATTTTATTTAGAAACAGGGTCTCACTGAGTTGCTTTGGGCCTCGTTTTTGCTGAGGCTGTCTTTGAATTCAGGATCCTCCTGCCTCAGTCTCCCAAGCTGCTGGGATTATAGGTGTGCACCATGGAGCCCGGCTGGGAATGCTTTTATGATAGCAATTATTTTTTAAAAAATAGCTTAGTGAAACATGTTCTTATTTAAAGATAGGCAGATATATGTTTTGTTGTTTAGTTTTGTTTTGTTTTAGAACTGAGAATTGAACCCAGGGGCACTTAACCATGGAGCCATATCCCTGGACTTAATTTTTTTGTTTTGAGACAGGATTTCACCAAGTTGCTTAGGGCTTCGCTAAATTCTTGAGGCTGGCTTTGAACTTGTGATCCTCCTGCCTCAGGCTCCCAAGTGGATGGGATTTCAGGCATGTACCACAGTGCCTGGCCCAGATATATGTTTTAATCCCTGGTTCGATCTTCATAGTCTGATATCTACTGAGTATTCTGAAGTCAATTTTTTTGAGTCTCCTTCATGTGCAAAATGAAGAGGTTCGGATAACCTATGAGATTCTATGCAAAAGATTTTATTTTGATATAGTTATCATATCTGGTTGGAATTTGGGGATTCTGACTAAAAAGGAAAAGAAAAAGGCACCTTCTATAGCAGTGAAATAGCACATCATCATTACTGCCACCTTTAATGAGCACTGTATGTGCTAAGCACTGTGACAGATGCTGGTCCACTCTCTCATTTACCCCTGGCAGTAGCCATCATGAGGTAGGAATCGTTTTGGCAAATTTGCGGTAGAGGAAAATGGGCGGCGAGCTCTTCTAACAGTTGCAAAAAATAAATAAATAAACAAATCCTAACTTTGCCTTTACTATATCTGCACATTGAGAAAAAATTTTCCTCCCCTGCCAACCCACAACACCACATCATATGAGTTCCTGCATGGCTACCCCCAGGGAGAGGTTCCTTAGTTCCAGGGCCAGCTCAGAGCAGATGGCCCCATTTCTACTCTTATAAAGAGCCAGCTCCAGGGATCTGAGAAAAGAGTTGCAGTCCAAGGTCTCACACTTGACTCTATGAGTGTGATTCTGTCTGAAAGCACATCAGCATGCTCCCTCCATCCTTTCCCCTCCACCCTGCATATTTGCAGAATCTGCCATGCATGCATGATGAAGAGCTAAAGATACCTGACTGGCTTGCCTGCCGCCCATTCCTGATCAGGAGTGAGTCAGTATTTCTATCTCCTGGTTTTTATCTTCTCCCTAGTATCAAGAGAACGTCTTTTCTCATCTCCAAAATAGCATCTGGTCCATTTGAAGCAGGCTAGAAGTAGGCTGACTGCCAGCACCCTCGTTTCTTGGCAGATAGATGGCATTCCCCCATCCAATTATCTTGAAGTCTCCTTGCTTCGTGATGCAGCCAACCCCTCCATCAGGAGCCAGACCCAGGTAGCCTAAAGTCACCTTGAACAGATCAATAGTAATGATGGCTACAGATCTCATCTTCAATTCTTGCATCGCTTCTACTAGGTAGGAATCTCACTCTTTTTTTAAAAAAAAAATGGGGAAACAGAGACTCAGAGAAGGGAAGAGGCTTCCCCAAGGTCACACAGCCTGGCACAGAAGAGCTGAGATTCTCAACTTTAGAAAGAAGAGTTAAACAGTTCCTAAAGGCCGCTTGCTTTTCCTATAGATCATAGCCAAATGCTTGGAAGGTTCTGGGGATTAGAGAGCATTCCAACCCAGGTTCCAGAAAATATCCCCTGTGCTCTCTTCAAATGTGCCTCCAAACATCTGCTCCAGCTCTTTCCTCAGCTTGGGATGCCCTTCCCTGTACCTAGCAGTGCAGTGCATGTTCCAAAAAAGAAACCACAGGTTTCATGGTTGATTGAGCTGCTCTGGAATCCTGACTGTACCATTTGCAAGTTTGTGATTTCAGGCAACTTCTCTAGTCCCTCTGAGGTTTTCTTCCACTGTAAAACAGGGCCATCTGCCTCACAGTGTTGTCATGACAATATATGAGCTTGAAGGGCCTAGCATGGTGTCTGACAGTTAGCAGGTGCTTATGATTACGCCCTTCCAAATACAGCTCAGGCACCACCACCTCTAGGAAGCCCTGCCTGATTGTGCCTCTCTCCTCCAAGCCCTGACATGTATTCATTTATTTTTTTTCTTAATTCATTGAACCAATATTTTAAAAATACATAAATAACTCAATCATAGTACTCAGCACATGGTGTTATAATTACTGGGTCATGTTCTATTTCCCCCATTAGACGAGGATCTTTCTGAGGGCAGAGATTTTTGTCTGAGTCATCTCTGAATCTTGAATGCCTACTCAGGCATTCAAGGAGGGGCCTGGCAGGAGGGAGGAAGTGAGAAAGCAACAATAAATAAATAAACAAAAGTCAAAACAGAAAGAAAAAGAAACGAGACACAGGACTGCTTGTAAAGACTTGCTCAAAAAAAAAATTTTTTTTTTTGAAAAGAAAAAGGTAACCCATCCCTGTATCCAGGGAGGCTGGAAAGGCACCTGATCCTTGGGCAGCCTCCCCTGCAAATGTTTCTCCCAATTCCCCCATTGACAGGAGCTGACAAGAGAGGAATATCAATGACCCCCTGAATAGGAAATCTCAGATGAGCCCCGCACCCAGCACCCAGCGTGCAGACAGGCAAGTCTGCAGAAAGGAAAATTCCAGTTGAACAGCCGATGGGGATAGACTGCAGCCCCAGGCCTGGTAACAAACAGTGTGTGGAGCTGTCAGTCGGGGACCAAGCTCCGCCCACCTCCAGCAACTGCGACTGCAGCCCCAGCAACAGCAGGCTTGGCAGGTGAGGAGGGCAGCCAGATTTTCAGCAGGGAAGCAGGTGGCTGGCTGAGGTGGGAGCCTCTGCCCCTAGTGCTCACAGAGCTGGAATTTAGAGCCTTGGGCAAAAGAGTCAGGGATGAAGAGGAGCAGGTCTGCTTTCTCCTGCCTCCCCAGACAGCTTTCCTGCCCACCACCAGAGGTCCAGAGGGACTTTTGAAAGTCCCATTCCAATCCCACCATAGAGGGGAGAGCCACTGTTTAACAAGCAATTCATGCATCTTGGTACTACCCTTCTAGTTTTTCTACCTGCCTTTCTCCTCCTCCTCCTCCTCCTCCTCCTCCTCCTCCTCCTCACTGGGGATTGAACCCAGGGGTGCTTAACCACTGAGCCACATCCCCAGCCCTTTTTATATTTTATTTAGAGACAAGGTCTCGCTAAGTAGCTTAGGGCCTGGCTACATTGCTGAAGCTGTCCTTGAACTTGCAACCCTCCTGCATCAGCCTTCTGAGATGCTGGTATTACAGGTCTGTGCCAGCATGCCTAGATTCTTCCTTTTCCCTAAATAAAGTCGTCTGTGTCTGTCATACCTCTGTACCTCTTCCTGGAATGCTGTTCCTTCTTCCTGGAGTGCACTCTTGAGTATGCTTTGCTGAGTCGGGGTCCTTGTACTAGATGAAGACTAGAATCCTCAGACTAGCATCTGAATGCAGACAGTTTGCTTAATAGGCCATCCTAGGAAGCATGGGGGTGGGGTGGAGTGAGACAAAAAAGGTAAGGGAGCCAGGAAAAGGGGCATTAGTGAACAGGTGGCCATTATGGGCAACTGGGGTCCAATCCCACCGAGGAACCCTGATACTTGCTGTAGACCACATTTTGGAGATGTTTCCCTTGAGGGATGAGAAAGCTAGAGCATTTAGCCACCAAATCCCATTCAAGCTGGTTAAGTAGTGATCCTGATGCCATTCACTCCCCCAGCAGCTGCCCTGTGCAAGACCCAGGCACATCCTTGCACCAGAGCAAGTGCTCAACTAGAAAGTTACGGGAAGCACTGGCACCATCTGCTACCCTTGCCAATCTAGCTAACTACTCCACCTTTTCCAAGGCTCAACTCAAAAGCCAGTACCTTTAATCCTAAATAAATTTCACAACCTCTCTCTCTGCATTGCCAGAGTAGGTTGAACACAACTCTATCGAATACTTGTCCTATGGAACTTTCTGTGTATCTTCTCCACTAGACTGTGGGCTCCTTTAGTGTCCTGACTTCCAGCACAAAGAGACACATGGATAACAGGTGCTTTGATCCTAGTACTGATTAAATATCAGTGATAGTTGAGAATGCTAACTAACATTGATGAATCCTAATACTAGCTGAAAAAGAGTTAGAGGGGATTTCTTATGCATGATTTTTACATATTTGTAGCTGTTTATAATATGCATAACATCTTTTGAATGATGTGGTCACCTCATGGTGGATTAAAAGGCATTAAATTTATACATATTTGTAGCTGTTTATAATATGCATCACATCATCAATCTGTTTTAATATCGATGGTACCATCCTAGAGATGCTTCAGCATAGGGATTGGGCCATCCTTTAGCCAGAACCTTTAAATGACTTCTGTCTCAGGGGTCTGGACCTTGCCTACAAGGTGAGAGAAAGGATTGGAACTCAAAGTCAAATCCAGTGTGACGTTTTCCAAAGTAGCCTGAGACAACACAGCCAGAATTGGAGCTTTTACCTTGTTGCCAAAACAACATCCACTTAGGAAATATGAGGGAAAGAAGAAATTATTATAGCAACGAAAGAGATGGATTACCTATCATAAAACTTAACGAGATGTGTACAGATTCTTTTGAACAAAAATTGGTATGACTCAGGAACAACAAAGAGCACTTGAGCGACAACAGAAAAGGTAGATCATGTCCTCAGATGCAACATCGTTAAAAAATGTCATTTAAAAAATTTTTTTAAATTTGTTTAAATTAGTTATACATGACAGTAGAATGCATTTATGCACTTTGATATATCATACATAGATGGGATAAAATTTCTCATTTTTCTAATTTAAGTGTTGCAGAATCACATTGGTCCTGTAGTCACATATATACGTAGAGTAATAATGTCTGTTTCATTCTACTATATTTCCTCTCCCCACATCCCCTCATTTTTCCCTAGACTAATTGGGAAATGGAATGCAGTTCAAATAGGAAAAAAAATGCCAATAAATTTTGGGGGGGTAATTAGACAAATTGACTATGAAATCCACATGGAATAAATAAGCTGGAATCACAAGAAGAATTTTGACAAGGGACATGAAAAAGAGAAGAACTGGCTCTACCATTATTAGAATGTCATAAAGCTGCAGTAATTTAAGCAGTGTGGTTCTTGTGTATGGAGAGACAGATCAATAAAGAGAAAACTCAGAAATAAACCTAAATGTATCTATACATCTAGTGTAGAATAAACATGGCATTTCAAGCCAGTGGAGAACAAGATTATTCAATCAACATTATTGGAATAATTGGATTGTTACCTCGGGAAAAAAAAGAAACTAAGTTTTAAGGTCCATAGTTCACACATTACGTCAAAAAATTTCCAGATGGATTGAAACCAAAATAGTAGTAGCAGGAGAAAATGTAGGAAATTTTATTTTATAACCTAAGGAAAAGCTGTCTAAGAGTCATGTATCGCAGAAGTCATAAATTTTAAAATTGATAAATTTGACTACCATGATGTTCCTCCACGGAAAACGCTTTCATAAATTCCTAAGGCAAAAGACCTACTGAGGAAAATACTTGCAATCCACACCACAGGCAGAGCACAGATTTCCTTAATATATTTTAAAAGCTTGTACATATCAATAAGAAGCAAAACCAACAAATACACGTGTGTGTGTGTGTGTGTGTGTGTGTGTGTGTGTGTAGATGATAGTAATGAGTATGAAAGGAAGGAAATACAAATGGCTTCTATACCTCAACATAAGAAAAGAACTAGGGACTGGGGATGTGGCTCAAGCGGTAGCACGCTTGTCTGGCATGCGTGTGGCCCGGGTTCGATCCTCAGCACCACATACAAACAAAGATGTTGTGTCCGCTGAGAACTAAAAAAATAAATATTAAAAATTCTGTCTTCTCTCTCTCTCTCTCTCTCTCTCCCCTCACAAAAAAAAAAAAAAAGAAAAAGAAAAGAACTAGATGCTATGATTAGGATATGGTTCATCTCCTAAAGATTCATGTGCTGGAAACTTGGTCTCCATGGTGGAGTCGTTGGGTTGGTGGGAACTGTTAAGAGGTGAGGTCATTGGGGGAACCACCCTTGGGAGGGATTAATGTAATTCTCAAAGGACCCCAATTAGTTTCCAAGATAATGACTTATTATAAAAACAGCAAACTTGTCCCGGGCATCCCTTTGACTTCCTGTCTCACCATGTGATATTTTCCACCCATAATCCCGCCATTATGATACATCCACCAGGAGATGGTCTCCTGGTGAACAAGTAGGGCTTTCAGCCTCTAAAACCATGAGCTAAATACACCTCTTCTCTTTATAAATACCCAACCTCAGGTATTTTATTCATAGCAAGAGAAAACAGACTATTACACTGGATAACCAAGAGAGATGCCTACACACCGTTTTGTAACTAAATTTTGTGCCGCGTGCCTGTGCTACCTAGTTTCAAAACAAAGAAAGATGATTTTAATAATAATCCATAAAGCCCAGGATCCTAGCTAAAGGGACAACTGTGGGCATCCATGGCATATGTGGAAAAACATGGAATAAAAGTTGGTAATAGAGAGACTTAAAGAGTTAAAAGCAGACTGGGGGTATATAAGTGGTGTGATCAGTCTCACAGTCTTAGGTGTTCAAGTTCCAGATTCATTTTGTCCTGTGTGGCTGTGACAGTTGACTTCTGTGACCCTCAGTGTCCTCATCTGTGAAATGGGAATAATCATTGTAATGACCAAGCATGGTGATGCACTCCTGTATTCCCAGCGACTTGGGAGGCTGAGGCAGGAGGATCGCAAGTTTAAGGACAGCCTCAGCAACTTATTGAGAACCGCCCCCCCGCCTCCAGGAACTTAGCAACACTCTGTCTCAAAATAAAAATTTTTAAAAAAGAACTCACGATATAGTTCAGTGCTAAAGCACCCTTAGGTTCAATCCCCAGTACCCACCAAAAAGAAAAGATGAACAAGAAGTGCCTAACACAATACCTGGCATATAGTAAGGACACAAAGGGCAGCTTGTATGTCCTAGACTCTGACTTCCCCAGCTTGACTGTAAATTTTATCTGCACTTCCTGTCTGGCAGTCCCCAAACACCTCTTTTATCTCAGAAGATGCCGAAGGAATAAATACCTCAAATCCTCTTTTGCAGTTATTCTTTTTTATTTCCCAAAGCCTCCAATACCCAAGAATTAACAAATTTTTATTGACTTGCACAGAGCTCTCCGGCCCTGACTTCTGGAAAATTCCGTTAAGGTTCTAAATATACTAATCTATAATTGTGGCTCGATGTGGTTTGCATTAAGAGTTCAGCGTGTGCATTTTATACCGTGCCACGGCTGATCCAGCCCTAGACCTGTCGACCAGGCTGTCCCACCAACTCGTCGCATTCCTGCCAGACCTTAAAAGCAAACTATAAATGGTAGCTGAAACCCTGAGCCGTCCTTAGGTCCATCTGCACTACTATCTGACCCTAACTGACCTGGGATCAGTCCTGTGACCCAGGTCTCCCTGATCTATTCCCTGTCTTTGATCCCTACCTCTGGCCCCTTCTGGACAATGTGATCATGGTTTTTATTATATTTTATCTTTAAATACTCACAATAAACCACCTTTATTTGGGCTCAGACCAGGAATCGACCTCTCTGTATTTATTGGTTTCTTTTTCCACATTGTCTACAGCCTGTTTCCATAACCCCATGAGCTGTTTTTACTTCTGGTAACTGATCTTGGCCCTCTTCCCTGTTCTATTAGTGCGAGGTTGTCCCTGTCTGCCACTCCTAGCTAACCTCTTG